ACAACGGAGCTGGCTAGCTGTACGACGAAGGTACCACTGCCGATGACTGCTGCTGCACAAGACGACTCGCGATGGTGGAGACGGAAACCGCAGAGCACACGTCGGGCGAGTGACGGACGACTATAATTATTATACGGTGGCTAGGGAACCATATAATAATAATATATAGTCTTCGTCACTTGCTCCGACGAGCTTTGGTCGAAGTCTTCGCCGTCGCCATAGTCGTCTTCGGCACCTGCAGTACCGTCAAGCAGTGCACGTCATCGCGCACTAGCCAATCGTCGTCAAATCACCGTCGTTGCTCTCGCAGCCGTCCTAGTCGGTTTCCTTCCACTTCCATGGTCATCTTCACGTCCTCGAGCAAACACACCCGTGACCCTCGTCCCCCCGCAGGACCGGCAACAAGAACTATGTAGAGGTGACCAGTTTATTGCCAATTATAACCTACTCGCCATCACGTACCCCCCACCTCGCCTCGTCTTGACTGATGTCTTTTATTTTACATTTTTTCTTTTTAATTTATTTTGCCACATTGAGCATCTTTTTTGTTTATTAAAATTATTATTTCTTGTTTTTTGCCACATTGCGCCTCTTTTGTTAAAATTATTATTTCTATTTTCTGCCACATTGAGCATCTTTTTTCATTTGTAAATATTATACTTATTATTATTTTTCGGCATAAAAATGTTTCAAAATTATTGTAAAGCACTCATTAAATATATATCAAATAGATATATCATATAATTTAAATATTATTGAATTATTTATTTATAATCATTTATCTCACACCACTTGTGTTTTTTGTTTTTTTTTTTTCATAATTATAAACAGTGTGTTTAAAAATGATATTATTTTTATACTTGACATCATTTATTACTGTATTCAAATTATTATTATAATTTATATAATACGATTGTTATATTACTACAAATTATCCAGTAATAAAATTATTATTTTTATACTATAAAATGCTGTTTTTATATTTTGTACTAAACAGTAGGTATGATTTTATTTATTACAACAGAATAATGATTGATGAACATTTGATGAATAATATTAACCAACAACTTTTTTGATACCTCGTACCAAACCTCAATAAATTATTATATTTAACGTTTTGGCCTCGTGTAAGTATAAGTGCAAAATATTGTCATGCATCTATATATTTTTAATTGTTAAATTTTTCACTTGTTACTTTGTTTTTTTGAATACTAAATTCATTGCTACCCCCCCCCCCCCCCTTTTTTTCGTTTGAACATTAAATATTATTATTTTATATTATCGAATTACCTATAGTATGAAATAAATGCATAATGTGATATTGGGAATAACCGATAAAGAGCATATTTTCTGTTGTTTAATAAAATTGGTTAGAAAGAAATCAATATTATAACGTCGGTCACATTTTACCTTAAAAATGGGTGCAATTTGTGGATATTCACAAAACTTGGCAGAGGTAATACATTCTTATGACACTAAGTCGATAAAAACCTGTAAAACCCGAACAAGTTATTTGTTTGTTTGTTTTTTTATTCTAGTTATTTAACCCCTAAATACCTAAACAAGCATAGAGTCAACGTTTCGGGGTATGTAGTGATGAAAAACATAAATTATTATCCCTTACTGAAAAATATCAATATGTTGGACACAGACAAACTGGGTTACATTGGTCATTTATTGTTGAGAACGAACATAATATATGTGGATAGTGGATGTAATTATATGGACATCTCTGAACCAACAGGGTAAAATGAGGAATTTAGTATATAGTTAGAATTTGAATAATGTGTTATCCCAGAAATGTTTATAAATAATAAACGAACTGTAACATTAATTTTAAATAAATAAACTAAGTAATAGTTTGGTTCGTATTAATAAATGCTTTGTAACACGAATACAGAAACTTTATAATAAAACTTCTGTGAAATTTTGTTCAAAAATATATTACACACATTATTGATTTGGGTTCAGACGTTTAGTAGCTATAAACTATAAACATATACAATATACAATTTTATAATATCTTTATTTAACTTACTAACGCTCGGCGAGCGCCCGACCGCAGTTATGGTCACTCGGGGCGACGGAAGACGGCGACGGCACGGCGGCTAGTAGACGTACCTGCGAGAGAAACGATTCCGCCTCGAATTTACACCGACTTGGTACGATGGCGATGGTGACTCGGTACGACGGCACCGGCGGAGACCTCAGCACCGGGTGTGTGGTACGGAGATTTGCGTGATAGAAACACGGGGACGTCAGCGGCGCCGGACTCGTAGAAACGTGACCGTTTCCTGGTCTGGCGGCGCACGGCGGCTGAAGGGACAACGCCAGGGCGAAAATTACCGAAAGCCAAGGACTTCACTGTGGTCCGCTGACTCTCTCCTATTCGCGCCGAGGTAATCCCACATCGGCGGCTTCGCTCGTCCACACCGGTTCCGCAGCACAGAATCTCACTTCGCTCGTTCCGCATCTTGGTCTTCGCCGTACGTCGGCTTGATCGTCACGCCGTCGACCGTCGATACGCGCACGACATCACGCACTAGCCGGCTGGGCAAGGTCGTCAAGCGTTCGAGCAAACATGCCAGAGACACTCGTCAACCCGCGGGCCGCGGGACAGGTCGGAGAACGTGCAGAGGTGGACAGTGGCTAGCAAAACTGCATTTTCGCACCAATCGCCATCTCGCATCCTCCCCCTTGTTTATTGTGTCTATCATGTCCGTCGTATTTTTGAAGTGAAACTTCTTATGTGAGGGGTATCGAAAAAAAGAGAGTGACGCTCTGACCGTCACGGACGCTCGGGCGTCACGGACGATCGGGCGTCACGAAAACGGTACGATGTTTTGTTTATGAACAAACCAGTATAAACGTATAAACAATATTCCGTAGTCAAGTTGATAAAAGCGAAAACGCATATATAATAAATATTCCAGAGTGCGCGATGAGTAAAAGAAATGTCGCGGAATATGAGAGTTCGGCCGGAACATTATAAAAATATATATAATATACTATTTTTAGGTGAGTCAAATTATGTATATTAAACAATGGTGGGCAAGTTAATGAAAATAATTAACTGTGGAAAGTTAAGTTAATTCAATTAAATTGCCTTCAGTTAAGTTAAAAGTTAACAAAGAAAAAAATTTAACTAGATAAGTTTAAAGTTATGATGGAAAATAAAATTAACTTATCTTAGTTAAAAAAAATTAATTTTTTTGAAGGTACAATATTTTTAAGTCATAAACTACCATAGTATTTTATATACACAAACATTTACCAAGACATTTAACACTGTGTAAAAAATTAAATTATTATAATTTATAATATATAATTCGAAAATGAATTACCAAAACTGTAAAAAGTCGAAGAATCAGTATTTCTTAGTTGATTACGCATGACTCAAAAGAAAATTAACTTAACTGCTCGACAATGATAATTAACTATAAAAAGTTAAGTTACAACAATAAACATTTTAACTGAATAAGTTAATAAGTTAAAAACAAAAATAATTAACTAGTTAAGTTAAAAAGTTAAAAAAAAATTAACTTTTTAACTTAACTTTAACTTTTTAACAAGTTAATGCCCACCTTTGATATTAAAAATATAACTCGATGAATTTAATCATATTATATGACTATACTATAAGTATTTAATAAATAATAATAATAATAATAAATATTTAGTTAATACTTGACACATTTACAATGACCAACGCACCTATATTTTTCAAATAGTATATAATACTCTGATGGTTCAATTGTATAATGATATGACATAATTTGATATTACTCAATATATATTATGTCTATGGTCTATCAAGTATATTTATTTATTTAATATCAAATGTAATAATTTATGAATAACAAATTGATATATATATTGTGTGGAGGACAACCTGAATTAAAAAATATGATCGTCAGGTATTGCCCGCTCCCGGATTATGGTAATTGTCGTGCGATGGTAGTGGACTGTAATAGGTAGGTAAATAGAAAAATGGATGACGGAAAACTACAGCGAGAGAAATAACAATAACGTTGTTGTTGTATGAAAATTATCACGGAATATGACGAATATATTAAAACGTTGCTAACAGGTGAAGATGCTTACAAACTATGTTAGTAGTAGGTGGGGGCCAACCACAAGCGGTCGCCAATACAGAGGGACAAAAAAGAAACAAATAATAAATGTACAAAAAAATTGATATAAATCATAATACCACGTCGGGTAACGGAAGAACATAAACAAATGAAATCAGCTGTGTACGACCTGATAGCGACGATACTGCAGCTGATAGCGGGTATTGACAACTGATGGTGCTACCGTTGTCCCGGCACGACGATAATGGGCAGCTGGAAGTTGACCGGGCTGCGGCGACACACCACAACGTCGACTTGGACGAACAAACAGTCGACGAACGGGAAGGCTCGGAACCACGTGACGAACACGGCGGATCGCACTGCGCACAAACCGCGCGGACGATAACGGCAACTTAAAACACAATGTGGTTTTGGCACGGGCGGCTACAAAACGCGATTTGTGTGTGCAACGAGGGGCACGACACGGAACAGAAAGCACAGACAGCTAGGGCGCTTGGACAAGCCAAGATGGCGTGCGTTATTGAACGACGACGGCACGCCAGTTCGCGTAGGTAACAATAAAAACGATAACTGCCAAGACGGCTGAGAAAAGGCGGCAGTAACGGCGACTTCGCGACAAGAGGCACTGCGTCGGACTGGTTGCAGCGGAGAAGAGACCGCCGGCGACACACCGATAACGCTTCTCTCTCCGGAGATATCGGAACGGTCGCACGGTGTCCAAAGTAATAGCGATAACGCGGGGCAAAGTCCAAGACCGGGCATACGCACCGAACATCCTCCCCACGTTGGAAGACGTAGGCTTCCGAAACATCCATTGATCCTTGACGTGAGAGCGTCCAAAACTTAAATTAACTTAAAACTAAAACTACATTTATAGAGGAAAAATTTTGTGGAAAAACAAGGAACTTATGGATCTACCGGCAACTTAACCAGTTTAACAACTGGTCTTTTGTAAGTTCCATCCTGAGTTCGCACGGTAACGACTCGAACTGTTTCGTCCTTGCCAGGATGTACTTCCGTCACACGTCCCAAACGCCATTCGGAAGGGGGCCGACTCGGGGCTTCAACAATGACCATGTCCCCAACAGCTAGATCCAATTCTTTGTGGAACCACTTCTGGCGTCCTTGCAAGGTGGTCAGATATTCCTTCGCCCACCTTTTCCAAAAGGATTGGTGACACTGACGGATCAACTGCCATCTATTTAATCGGTTGAGGGGAATCTGTGAAACGTCGAGTTCTGGAAGAGCGTGCAATGGTTGTCCGATTAAAAAATGGCCGGGCGTTAACGGAACGAGATCATTTGGATCTGATGAAAGCGGTGTAAGTGGCCGTGAATTTAATATTCCTTCGATGCGGGTGACCAATGTTAGCATTTCCTCAAATGTTAGAACTTGAGTACCAATGACATGCTTCATGTGATGTTTTGAACTTTTGATTGCAGCTTCCCACAACCCACCGAAGTGCGGTGCGGCGGGTGGATTGAAGTGCCAGGTGCATGGGAGGTAAGAAATCATTTTCTCTTGTGCACTGGTATCCCTAAATATGGACTTAAGTTGTCGAGCAGCCCCAACGTAGTTCGTCCCACAGTCGGAATACAAATGTGCCGGAGTTCCACGACGAGCCACGAAACGGTCTAATGCAGCGAGAAAGGCGTCTGTTGTCAGGTCAGAAACAATTTCTAAATGGACAGCCTTTACTGTCATGCAGATGAATAGAGCGAGATATGCTTTCGAAGTGCGTGCATTACGACGGCGAGAATCCTTAATCACGAAGGGCCCTCCGTAATCCATACCCACATGTAGGAAAGGGCGATGTGGTTGAACACGGCTTGATGGGAGATCTGCCATAAACGGTCGAGGGTGATCTGCCTTGTGACGGCTACACGTAACACAGGAAAATATAAATCGTCGTATGGCATCTCGGCCAGAGATGATCCAGAATTTATGCGACATCATGGATAGGACTAATTTAGGTCCACCATGAAGAAAACTCAAATGATAATGACGAATTAGTAATTTAGTGACATGGGCAGAGTGTGGCAAAAGAATAGGATGTTTTGCATCTTCGTTTAACGCTGAATATCGAAGACGACCTCCAACACGAATAAGTCCGTCATTATCAACAAACGGGGCAAGTTGAGCCAGCGAAGCGGGAGTTATCATCTGCGATGTAGTCAGCTGCTTCCACAAGTTAGAAAAATATATCTTTTGCGTCTCCTTTACGGCAATGATTAAGACGTAGTTTAACTCTGCTCTAGTGAGAGGTCCAGTTAGAACAGGTCGATGCCTAGATCGAGGACTAAAACGGATACAATAAGCCAGAACTCTTTGCATTTTAATCAGAGATGAAAACCGGTGAAAAGGTTCAATAGATGGATGAACTTTAGTGACATGTAGAACGGTTGTTGTATCGGCTTTGGTCTCAGGCAAATCATCTAGGGGCATTGGAGTGAATGTCGACGGTGGCCAGTATTCTTCAGGACGTGTTAAAAATTCTGGTCCGTTCCAATGTAGTGACGACGATGCCATGGTGGTGGGTAGAAGTCCTCGTGACGCCGGGTCGGCAGGGTTTTCATGTGTACGAACGTGACCCCAGTGACACTTAGGAACCAGAGCATGAATCTTTACAACGCGATGTGTGACAAATATCTTAAAATATTTTTGTTCAGTCGACAACCACGAAAGGACAATTGATGAGTCCGTCCACGCACGTACTTGAGAAATCTTGATTGAAGTTGAGAGAACTTCTTGGATGTGAAACAGTGATTGGGCCAATAGCAACGCAGCGCATAATTCTAAACGAGGTATGGATAATGATTCATCTAGCTGAGACGTTTTAATTGGAGCAACCTTTGTCTTGCAGGACACAAAATGAACGGTCACATTTCCAGAGGTGTGGACAACACGTAGATAAATAGTAGCAGCGTAACCCTTCGATGATGCGTCTGCAAACCCGAGGAGCTGGATATCAGAGTAGGACTGAACATTGATGTAACGAGGCAAGGTGACTTGATGTATGGTTGGTAACTCCATCAGAAACTGGTTCCAAGCCGTGCTTAGATTCTCGGGTAGTGGAGTGTCCCAGTCGAGTTGGTCATGCCAAAGCTTCTGCATGAACCCCTTTGCCCACATAAGCATTGGGCCCAAGGCGCCAATTGGGTCAAATAATCGAGCGATAACGGATAGTACCTTCCGCTTTGATAGTTGAGGTTCCGGAGTGCGAGTATGATAAGCGAAGTAGTCAGAATCAGTATCCCAGTACAGACCGAGAACCTTGATAGAATGATCCTCCTTTGGATCGAATGACGTCTGCTGAGCACAGTCCTCCGATGGCACCTGCTTCAGTATCAGAGGACAGTTGCTCGTCCATTTTTTCAATTCACACCCACCGGAACGCAAAAGGGCAACAATTTGTTTCTGGAGTGACAATAATTCCTCTTCCGAATCGGCACCAACGACTATGTCATCCACATACGTGGCGTCTGTAAGAATTCCTTTTGTAAGTGGAAATCGATGACCTTCTTGTGCATCCAACTCATGAAGACATCGAATGGCCAAATATGGTGCGGAACTAACCCCATATGTTACCGTCAGTAATTCGAACTCTTTTATTTCTTCATCGGGTGAATCACGCCAAAGAATATGTTGGAATGGTCGATCTTCAGGTCTGATCATAATCTGTCGATACATTTTTACGATATCAGCGGTGAAAATATATCGGTGTAATCGAATACGCAAAAGGATGTCTCTGATGTCTGTCTGGAGCTTTGGTCCTGTATATAGGACGTCATTGAGCGACAAACCAGAAGACGACCTGGCTGAGGCGTCAAAAACTACTCGAAGCTTTGAAATATCACCATCTGCCTTCAGTACTGCATGGTGAGGAATAAAATATTTTCCAGCTTGACGTGCAACTTCCATGTGGCCAAGTGTTTGATAGTCGTTCATAAATTTGCGATAAGCTGTGTATAATTGTGGTTCCTTCATCAGTTTCCGTTCTAGATTATAAAAACGGTTAAGGGCCAAAGCTCTAGACTCACCGAGCTCGGGGGCATTAGGGCGAAACGGAAGAGCAACACAAAATCGACCACACGGAGCACGGTAGGTGGTCGTCACGAACATTTGTTCGCACAGCTGATCCTCAGTGGTAGGTAACGCTGGCACAGCGGGTTCTTCGACAGTCCAAAATTTGCGTAGTAAATTATCAACAGACGGAGTCAAAGTTGCAGCTAGTGAAACAGCTGGCGAGGAATTGGGCTGTGAAATAGCACCGCACACCACCCAGCCGAGGAGGGTATCAAACGCCGATGGATAGCCAGAAGAATGAATAATATCGGCGCGTGGACGAACAATATTTGGAAAGATGTCACCACCAAGTAAAATGTCTATCTGCGCTGGAACGTCAAAGTTTGGATCAGCGAGCAATAAATGTTCATAATTTTTTCGAATGCATGGTGGTAACTGTAGTGTCGGCATGACGTCGGTTATTAAAGGTAAAATGAAAAGATCACTACACTGAAATATATTCTTTGTACTATGGTGTGGAATAAATTGACAATTGGTCACGCCTTTTATTTTTGCAACAGGATTTTGTGCAAGACCAACAATTTCGGTAAAACATTTGTGCTTGGTGAGACCTATGCGTGACACACAACTACTGGTGATGGCTGAAATTTGTGAACCACTGTCCAAAAGAACTCTTACAGAATGTAAAACACCACAACTGTCCTTAACACGGACAACCGCTGTCCCAAGTACTACCATAGAGTTCGTTCGTGAGGTTCCAGAAAATTGCACTTGACTAGTAGACGCAGGAGTAGATTCACCCCCGACGTTGATATTTGTTTGATCCGAAACTTGCGTGGTGTTTGAAGTTGACGTTGTCAAGTGTAATAAAGTATGATGTCGTTTCTGACAAATTCGACAACTTGACTTTGAAGAACATTTATTTATCATGTGCATCGTACTCAAACATGAAAAACATAACTTGTTGGTAGATACAAAATCTCGACGCTTTTCGACAGTAATTTTCTGAAAAGCCACGCAGCGATAGATAGTATGAGCTTCGTTGCAGAACGCGCATTTAAACTGTTTTTGATTAACCGATTTATCGTACGTAGTTGACATAAACGATTTTGAAGCTTGATGAGATTTACCGGTTGTAACATTCTTCTCGGCCCTTTCAGCTCTCACGGGACCTTGTATGTTTTCGAGAACTTTACAGCGTTGTTGAACAAATTCTAATAATAAATCAAAATCAGGCATTTGATTCGGCGCCAAACTTATTTCGAACGACCGACGAGTAGCTGGATCTAGTGCCTTTGAAGCGAGGTGAAATAGAATGAAACCGACCAGGTCCTTGACTCCGAGTTCTTTTATGGCGGCAATATTTTCCCGAAAAACGTTGACAAACGCGTTCAGGGCAGATAATGATTCTTGCGCTATTGGTTTAAAAGTAAACAGTTTATCAACGTGGGCGGTAGCTAATAGTCGTTGATTATTGAAACGATTTAATAACGCTCCCCACGCTAAATTATAATTTGACGCCGATAACGGAAACGTTTTAACGATGGTAAGTGCCGATCCCGTTACGCACATTAAAAGATATTGAAACCGTCGTATATCACTTAAATCCGGGTTCTCATGAACAGCAGACAAAAATGTATCTCGAAAAAGAGACCAAGACAAAATATCGCCGTTAAATTTTGGCAATTCAATTTTCGGTAAAGCGCTTAGCGTCGGTGCAGCTATCGTAGTCGATTGAAAATCTTTTTTTGATAAACGAGATATGATATGTTTTACATTAAAATACATTTCTTCGACGGCCTTGGAGACAGGTTCATCGACTTCATCGAATTGCTCGATACAGTCATGCATAATAAGTACATCGACAACGGCCTCCTGTTCCAAACGAAATTTCGAAACAATTGTCTCAAACGACTCAATACGCACATCGAGCTCACACTTTTCGACAACGCCCGACTCGACTTGCATCGCGAGTGAATGAATATCAGTAATTGATTTAAGATGACGATCACGCATGAAACGTGGTCGCTGTACAGCTCGCTGCATAGCACGCTGAGCTTTAGTCAGATTAGAAGTACCCGCCATCGTGAACAAGACAATAAATACAACAATTGAGCTATCCGGCCCGAAGGACCAAAATGTGTGGAGGACAACCTGAATTAAAAAATATGATCGTCAGGTATTGCCCGCTCCCGGATTATGGTAATTGTCGTGCGATGGTAGTGGACTGTAATAGGTAGGTAAATAGAAAAATGGATGACGGAAAACTACAGCGAGAGAAATAACAATAACGTTGTTGTTGTATGAAAATTATCACGGAATATGACGAATATATTAAAACGTTGCTAACAGGTGAAGATGCTTACAAACTATGTTAGTAGTAGGTGGGGGCCAACCACAAGCGGTCGCCAATACAGAGGGACAAAAAAGAAACAAATAATAAATGTACAAAAAAATTGATATAAATCATAATACCACGTCGGGTAACGGAAGAACATAAACAAATGAAATCAGCTGTGTACGACCTGATAGCGACGATACTGCAGCTGATAGCGGGTATTGACAACTGATGGTGCTACCGTTGTCCCGGCACGACGATAATGGGCAGCTGGAAGTTGACCGGGCTGCGGCGACACACCACAACGTCGACTTGGACGAACAAACAGTCGACGAACGGGAAGGCTCGGAACCACGTGACGAACACGGCGGATCGCACTGCGCACAAACCGCGCGGACGATAACGGCAACTTAAAACACAATGTGGTTTTGGCACGGGCGGCTACAAAACGCGATTTGTGTGTGCAACGAGGGGCACGACACGGAACAGAAAGCACAGACAGCTAGGGCGCTTGGACAAGCCAAGATGGCGTGCGTTATTGAACGACGACGGCACGCCAGTTCGCGTAGGTAACAACAAAAACGATAACTGCCAAGACGGCTGAGAAAAGGCGGCAGTAACGGCGACTTCGCGACAAGAGGCACTGCGTCGGACTGGTTGCAGCGGAGAAGAGACCGCCGGCGACACACCGATAACGCTTCTCTCTCCGGAGATATCGGAACGGTCGCACGGTGTCCAAAGTAATAGCGATAACGCGGGGCAAAGTCCAAGACCGGGCATACGCACCGAACAGGTCATATCAGAATAAATTACACATTATGTTTATTTCGTTTATAATTTTTTATTTTTAGAAAAGTACCAATATACTATATCATAATAATATATTAATATATACTACTACCTTCGTATCAGAAACACGTCTACGATACTATGCACTACATTGGTTATGTAATTTATTAGTGTTTTGAAATTAACGCCATTTTTATGTTTAAATATATTCCAACTATATTATTAGAAAATAAAGAAAACACAAATATGACCGCTAGTGAGTTCCAAAATTAATAAATTATATCGAATGTGCTTTCAGTTTATTTTATAATATATTCAAAAGTGAAAATTGAAAACCCCCGAGAGTGTTTTGTTACAAAGCATTCATTTTTCAGACATAATTTCTTTTACGTATTTTCAAGTGAACATAATTAATTAATTTTATTACCATCAATCATGATCCCAATGTTTACGTTTCAATGTTATCAACTTTTTCCATGGTGTTTTAACGATAATTATATTTCTTAATTTAAATATTTATCCGCAGTATTCAGAATAAATAATTATAATTTTAATAATTCTTTTAATTTGAATAACATCAATTCTGATAAAAAATGTAGTTTTATTATATTTTATGTTTTTGCTGAAACACGTTTTGTTTGAAAAAATAATAATATTTACTTCGTATTATATTTTATATTTGTGATTTAATATTATCATTCTTTAATAAACAGTTGATGGCATATTATTATTTTATTTGATATGTTTTAGCATTTTTTGACCAAGTGTAATATTGGAAAGTGGACAGTTAAAACCAAACGTAATAGTTCCACACTGTTTGCGTATTTTTATCGAAACACCGATTATGCAAATATCCATTGTAACAATATTAATAAATTAATCGATGGAAATATTGTTCAGTTTAAATATCACTTATTTCGTTTTGAAAATGCGGTAGGTAGCCAAGTCCGAGTTAGTCTAATAATGTTAGGCGGGCTACAGGAGTCAAATCAGAAGATCGAAATGACATACGACAACACTCAAATATTAATAATATAATAAGTAAGAGTGTGTTACAGTGCAACACATTTATTATCACTAACTTAGAACTATAATACTTTGGCACAGCGTCTCGGCTAGAGCGAAAAGTGCGTTGGCGAATACGTACAACACTATGATGGCTTTTTTTTCTGTTCTTTTTGTCGTACATACGTATTTTTCGGTGCTATATATCATTCGCAGTAAGTCGCCTTAGCAATAATTTGCAACCCAGTCACGGCCGCATAAGAAATTGCGGGCTGAGTTGAACACGTTTCGAGTATTTAATACATTTCGGTTAGGTTAGTTTGATTTTCATTGCATCGCCACCGTTGATTAACTACTAGCACGTCGTCGTCGGTAGTGGGTTTTGGGTGCCTATTGTCTTGTTTTTCATAAGACATATTATTATTATGATATATATATATATATATAACACATATAATATTGTAGAGCTCTATCAATAGAATATTTTTTGTCGATTTTTCTAGAGGAAAAATGTATTACTCGAAAACACTGGTTGTCTATTCTAATACTATAATATGCGGCTTTATTATATCCCTAATTTTTGACACGAAATTATGAACATCAAAACATGATATTATATATTATGAGCACCACCGTGTAAATGCAAACCATCATAATATTATGGATAATATCAACATTATGTAAGTAGGTATGTCTAACTCAGGGCAGCCCAACTTTTTTTTTAATTTGATGGCACATATTTTTACCAATTAATAGATTATCGCAGTTCATATATTATATAAATAAATATGTTTATACATATTATAATATACCTAATAATTTTCATAAGAGAAGTACATAATATAATAAATTATAAGGTACATAACGGTTATCAGGTGACAATTACAATAAACTTAAAACATAACCAATTACCAAAATGTCCAAGATCATATTATTGTAATAATATAATACTATAAAATATAAACAAAATATATTTTTTACACGTTATAAATAATCAAAGATTCTGCTACACACCTAAAGAATTTTGCAGCACATATATTGGGAAACCCTGGCACCCGAACTTATATGGTTGTGGCTAAACAGTACACACTGGTGACGGCGTCTACAGATTACAATATATTAAAGTGATGCGAATTCATAATTATTTTGTTGTAGTATACCGCATTAGATGTATGACCTGTTTCTTGAGATAACAAAATTACGTTATTTTTTCACGACGTCTGTACACGATCACATTTTATATTTTTATTTATTTTTTTCAAATTTTGATAAATGACCTGCTGGAAATAACTTAAGACTTTTTGTTTGTTTCTTTATTAATTAAAATAAAAACTTTTATCCTAATTTAATTTGTTTAGTAAATTACACAGTCCAGTGACATGAATCAAATGATGAAAATGTTTTAATGCCATTAAAAATGTAAAATAAAACTTTTTTTTCGTAATAATCAAATTAAGTCTAATGTACGTGCATCGCCATTACACCTCGTTAGAAACAGCGATTTTTCAGGGCAAAATTTAATCAAATTTCTACCATAAACAAGTTACAATAAAAATAATAATAAAAATGTATGTATAATTAGAAATGTATTATTTTTTTCTTAATCTTGTAATGCGAAAAAGTTTGGAAGTTTGTTTGTTCGTTTTGTAATTACCATCAAAAAGGTTTCTAAAAATATTAGATTTAAGGAAAAAGGTAGAAAAAATTATACTTAATTGGTTACAATTAAAATATACATCAAATATATAATAAATAGATTTAAATTATCTTAAAAATATTCTGTTTTTATTAATCATAAATTTATGTGAATATATTCGATAAAAGATATTAGAAGGTATTAATTATATTCCAGCTGAAATTAATTTCCTTATTACCTTACTGACCTATATTATGTTTTATACATATTATGTATTAAATATTAGGTACAATGATTTATCTGTAAATATTACAGTTTGTATTTTGAAAACCAAACATTGTAGGTATTTCTTTTTAAATATTAACTTTATGTCACAATTTTATTATAGTGACATGTAATAAAAACTAATTGAATAATTAACTTATATAGTATAACATAATATAATATAATATCAGAATCATGACAGAATATTGGTATACCAAAAACACTCTGTGAAAAGTAACTTTTTTCTAAACAGGTAATTAAACTTTTAATATAACGTTGATTTTAATTTTGTATGAATTAATTTTTCATAATTTTTTATTTAAACTTTAGAATAGATCTGTTAAGAAAAACTCTTTACTTAGGTACTATTTTAGTTTTTCGGTAGATTTGGGAAGCAATTATTTTTGTAATAACAAATGTATATTGTTATATATTTTTCTTTGAATATTTTCTTTCATGTGTATGCCTGTGTTCGTTGGGTTGGAAATTTAATGTAGAATCTGTATTAAGTTTTCAAAAATACTGCAGTGTATTCTATAGTTATAATAATAATAATAATAACAGTATGTACTAGAATAAAATAATAAATATAAAAGCTAAATGCACACTATATTGGTTCTATTATTATGTATCGAACCAAATGTTGTATTAAATTTTTTTTCTTCAACTATATTATTATAGTTATGAAAATAGTTGTACAAACTGAGCATTAAATTCGTAACTATAAAGATTGTATACACTATACTATATATTATTGTATGTTTTAAAACAAAATACATTTAAAGTTCTCGATATTAGATAAATTAATTGTAAACTGATATTTTTTATAAGTAACTTTCCCGGGGTATATGTATTATCAGCAACCGACTCTTGAGTGTCAATAAATGTATTTTAGTGTTTTCATTTACGACATAATCGAACTGTTTTATCGCTTTTATATACATAGTTTCCGCCTTAAACTTTTAACACAATTGTTTGCAAGTTTTCGAGATATTACTTATGCCATGCCTATATTATGTCATTATATCGCACTGCCCGTAATAATTTATGGAC